AAAAAATGGGAAAAAAAGTAACACATAGTGCTCTCTAGTCTCTGAAAATTAAACATATTTTACGTGTTTAAAGAGGTTGAAAGACATTGCTCGGTTGAGAAGGATGACAAATGGCCTCTCGATAGTGTGAAGCCATGGTAATGGACTGCATCCTCCCCTAGCCTTCACCCCTGCTCCCAACAGAATGAATGAATTCCTCCTTGGGGGATTCCACTCTGTCTAAAGCATAGACTTATTTTACTATCACTTCCACTACACTCTGAGATCCTTGAAGATAAGACCTGGTCTTACTTATCTTAGTATCTTCAGAATTTGTTGCTGTTATTGTTAGTTGCTGTCAAGTTGGCTCCAACTCATGCTGACCTTATATATAACAGAAAGAAACATTTCCTGGTCTTGCCCCATCTTCATGATCTTGGTATGTTTGAGTCCATTGTTGTGGCTATCGTGTCAATCCATCTGTTGAGGATGTTCCTTGTTTTCGCTGACCCTCTACTTTACCAAACATGATGTCCTTTTCTTGTGATTGGTCTTTCCAGATGTCATATCCAAAGTAAGTCTAAGTTTCACCATCCTTGCTTCTAAGGAGTATTTTCGTTGTATTTATTCTAAGACTGACTTTTTCGTTCTTCTGGTAGTCCATAATATATTCAATATTCACCAACACCACAGTTAAAATGTATAAGTTCTTATTCTGTCTTCCTTTTTCATTGTCTAGCTTTCCCATGCATATGAGGCGACTCAAAATACCATGGCTTGGGTCAGGCTTACCTTAGTCATCAAAGTGACATGTTCACTTTTGAAAACTTTAAACAGGTCCTTTGCAGCAGATTTGCCCAGTGCAACATGTCTTTTGATTTCTTGACTGCTGCTTCCGTGGACGTTGATTGTTGATAGAAGTAGAATGAAATCGTTGACAACTTTAATTTTTTATCCATTTATCGTTGTTTATCAGTCCCGTTGTGAAGATTTTCGTTTTCTTCACGTTCAGATGTAATTCATACTAAAGGCTGTAGTTTTTGACCTTTATCAGTAAGTACTTCAAGTCATCTTCATTTTTGGCAAGCAAGGTTATGTCATCCGCATATCTCAGGTTGTAAATGAGTTTTCCTCCAACCTTGATGTTGTGTTCTTCTCCATATAGTCCAGCTTCTCGGATTATTTGCTCAGCATACAGATTGAATAAGTAAGGAGAAAGGATAGAACCCTGCTGCACATCTTTTTCAATTCTGAACCATGAAGTAACCCCTTGTTCTGTTTGAACGATTGCCTCTTGATCCATGCACAGGTTCCACATGAGCACAACTAAGTGTTCTGGAATTTTCATTCTTTGTAATGCTATCCACAGTTTGTTATGATCCACACAGTAGAATGCCTTTGCATTGTCAATAAAATACAGGTAAACATCTTTCTGGTATTCTCTGCTTTCAGCCAAGATTTATCTGACATCAGCAATGATATCACTTGTTCCACCTTTTTTTTTTTTTTTTTTATTACACTTTAGGTGAAAGTTCACAACTCAAGCTAATCTCTCATACAAAGTTTCAGACACATATTGTCATGCGACACTAGTTGCAATCCCTACAATGTGACAGCACACTCCCCCTTTCCACTCCGAGTTTCCCGTGTCCATCCAACTAGCTCCTGTCCCTTCCTGCCTTCTCATCCTGCCTCTGGACAGGAGAAGCCCCTTTGGTCTCATGTATCTGTTTGAACTAAGAAGCACACTCTTCACAAGCATTATTTTATGTTTTATAGTCCAGACTAATCTTTGTCTGAAGAGTGGTCTTCGGGAATAGTTTTAGCTCTGGGTTAACACAGCTTCTGGGGGCCATGGCTTCGGGAGTTCCTCCAGTCTCAGACCATTAAGGGTGGTCTTTTTATGTGAAATTGAGTTCTGTTCCACACTTTTCCCACTGTTCCTACCTGACAGGGAACACGACAGAGAGTCCCTGATGCAGTGGGAGAAAAGTGTGGAATACTCCTGGATTTCCAGCCAAACTTCTTGTTTACCTGCCTTTTATTTACCAATCAAGTTAATTCCATTATAATAGGCTTGCCTTTGACAATCTTTTATATTAATGCCTAAAATTAAAAAAAAATTAATTCTTCACTTAAGTAAAAATCTGTACTTTTAATAGCAGGTGTAAAGCCAATGAAATACTCATTGGTTTAGACTTGTTTTTCTTCTTTAGATAATGCAATGATATCTATAATAAATGTTAGCTGTTCAACTTGTCTTCTGACCATGGTAAGTTCTAACTGAGTGATTATTTTATTAAAAAAATTTATAAAATATAAAATAAAGTATATAATTGCATCTCTCACTTTGCCTCTCTTGCTGTACTACCCATTAAATTAATCATCCTAGTTTGAATTCACCATCCAAATTAAAAAAACAAACAACAACAAAAAACTTGTTGCCATTGAGTAGATTCCGACTCACGGCCATCGCACGTGTTCCAGAGTAGAACTGCTCCATGGGGTTTTCTTGGATATAATATTTACAGAAGCAGATCACCAGAACTTCCTTGATATTTTATTTTTTCTTTCTTATATCTCTAGTCTGAATTCCAAGCTATTTCTTCCAATTTATTATTTCTCTCTCTAGCCAACTGTTTGCCTTGTTGATTGAGATTTTTTCAAATTTCAATTAATATATATTTCATGTGTAGGATTTCTATATGCTCTTTTCCAAATTTGTTTGTTCTTTTTTTCCCATAATATCCTGTTTCTGCCTTATACGTTGTATTTCTTCCTTTGTCTCTTCCAACATTTTAAACATAATTCTTTTAAAGAATCTTCATATTGTTCTACTAACCCTAGTTCTTGTGATTCTTCCTCATGGTGGTTCATTTCCTGTATGGTGTGTAATTTTTACCTATGAGCTCATCTGTAATGGGTGTGGCTTAGATAAATTACAGGGAGAGCAGGCCAGCTTCCAGTGGCTTCTGAGGACTGGTTGTTCAGTTAGAGAGTTACAGTTTCAGTTTCACAGATGGGACAACTCCTTGGCTTTATAAGTGGGATTTATTCTCATACAGGCTAGTGGCTGTGTCTTTTACCCCATATGAACATCAAAACCCCAGCTCCTGACTCCTAAAGCTCATGTCGAATTCTAGTATCGTCCTTATCCGTTCAGTTTTACTCTTGCACACTACTTTGCCTTTGAGTTTACTTTCCTTTCTGGCCCTTAATTTTTTTTTCATTCAAGAAATGTTTATTAAATGCCTACAAATGTGCCTGACACAACTCTAAGCACTAGAGAATCCACAATGAATAAAATAATGACTTTGCCCTAAACGTTTTTATATTCAAGAGATTTCTTGTTCTCCAGTCACACTCTAAATGTACTGAAAGTATTTTGTTGTATCTTATCAGCATTTCTATGTGTTTGGAGTGTGTGTGGGGGGTGGTATGCGGATGGAGGTGTCCTCCTGCTGCAGCTCCATCCACCATGATAGCCAGAAGTTCCCTGTCCTCCCTCTTGGACCATCCCACCTGTGCCCCCTGAAGAGTTGAGAGGCTGACAATATTTCTGGCATGTGTTGAAGACTAGGAAAATATTTCTAGCCACATTTAACCTGAGAGGCAGCTGAGTATAATTAACTGTTAAGAATGTAGATTTGAGAGGCTAAATGCCTAGACTCCAACCCCAGCTCAACTGCTTACTAGTTGTTAAGACCTTGGGCAAAAGTCCCTCTTGGTGCTTCAGTTTCCTCATCTGATTCCTTACGTGCTTATTGATAAGATTCAATGAGTAGAGTGCTTAGAATAGTAGTCGGCATGTTGTAAGTACTTAATTATGGGTAGATGCAACAAAAATATCAGTGACCCAGCACTAAACATAATGCTTTATGACTAGTTGGGATCATCAATACAGGTTTCTTGGTAACTTTTTCCTGCTCTGTATTTTGCTTTCTGCCATCTGCGTGCCTCATGGGTCAGGGCATGCTGGTGAGATGTTTCATCATAGTGTCCATCGGTATGGCTGGGCTGAGTTGTCAGCTGGAGCAAAGGTTGGGAGCCAAACCAGGTTCCAAACAGGGGATTGTCTAAAGTCGCTATGGGGACAGAAGGAATTCTGCTGGACATCTCATTTCTCTGGGAGCATTTATTGTAGCTCACTCCTGTGTAAACCTATCAGCTTCTGGGATGCCTTCACGGTGCCATCTGATTTCTAACAGAACTACCCCTCCCCTCAATCTCAAAGGAGTCCCTGGGTGGTGCAAATGGTTAAGCATTCAGCTGCTAATCAAAATTTGGCGGTTCAAGTCCACCCAGAGGCGTTTCAGAAGAAAGTCTTGGAGATCTACTTAAAAAAAAATCAGCCACTGAAAACCCTATGGAGTACAGTTC